GTTGATAACCTTGTTGATGAGTGTATAAACGTAAGGGTCTCGTGACAAAGAGCGCACAATTTAAAGGCATACCAGTAGTAGTAGTAATAAGTTCATTTAATTACTAAAGTGCGCATAGAGTAAATCAGCTAATAGTGTGAACTCACAGCCAAAACAACAATTACAACAGCGTGTTTCTCTCTCTCTCACTCACTCTCCTCACATAGATAAAGCACACAGTCTAAAAAGCAGCTCTAATTCACTTTCAATCGTTGAATTGCGCCTGGGAATGGGATATTGCTAGCTTTCTTCAATTCACAATTCACTCATGCATCAACAAATTTAATGACAGAAATGTACACAACTACGAATTCTACGTCATTTTATGCTGCAGAATTGAAGAGGATTGGAAGAGCGCGATAATGCAAATCAACACTTACTAAAATTTCTATTACTCATCTACTCTCTGCCACAGAATGGGCGTAACTGCTAAAAATCATGGTAATGCGACAGAAATGAAACGGAGAGAGGGCTAGTGAAATGGGAATGAGAAAAGCAAACTTACTTCAAATATGCCTGCATATTTTTCAGGTAACCTAGAAAACCATAGCCTAAAAGGATATTCGAAATTGTTCGTGAAAAAAAGTTGGTGAGATTGCTTCGGACCTCCATAGAAAAAAGGCAAGTGGTTGCGGTTGAACTGCAGTGAACTAAAAGGTAGTGAAAAGTTAAAAGAATGATGTTTAAACAAGCGAAGGAGTAAGAAATAAGGCTAAAAATATTGTTCTTTACTTCTCTTGAAAATAAACTGTGAAAGGAATACTAATTGGAGAATGTCCCTTTGTCACAACCTCAATTTTGCCAGAAAAATGATCCCAATCGCCCAGAGTACCAGCTGAAATAATAAGGAAGAGCGTTAAGTTGATTAATTGTAATCAATTGCAAGATAAGTAGGGTTTGAAATATTAGACTAAGTGAGTAAAATCCAAAGTAGACAATAAGAAGGCTGAAAATGTTTTGCATTCTAGTATCACAAACTTATAAGTGTTTGAACATATAATAAAATTAATCCGCTGTTATTTATAATTAAATAAAACACAAAAAGAGCATAAAACATCGAATAAATGTCAAAAGTAGTTGACAAAGCACGTACGATTGAACGAAACGGGTGCGAGTTCTATCATTTTAGAAGAATTCCCAGGAAAGATTAGGGAATTAAAGATAAATCCAATGTATCTTTTCCCATCTTCTCCTTTAATGGAATAAATTGCAAACTAGGAAGACTGGGCCTATTTGCGTTACGCATGGATTTGCCAATTTAAGGAAAGAAGTGAGATGCAAATTACAAAGGAGAATAAAAAATCTTGAAAAATTCGAAGTCATGGAATTCTTTTGTTTCAGTAAATAGGCTTGTTATATATAAAGACTGCGAACTTATATGAAAAAATCAATATTAGACGTACAATCATCAAAAATTAGCTCTGTTGGAAAGAGAAAATTGTTTGGTTTTAGGAAAAACTGATGGAGGAGAAAATTAGCTGATATATTTCTGAACAAATTTTGATCCTTTACTGACACATCGATAGGAAACAAAGCTCCAGAAATGCAACCTCTCGGTAAATTAGAGGGTTGGTCGAACAATTTAAAGTAAAATAGTCCGTTTAATGGAATGGATATATGAAGAGGAAGGCAATTAATTTTAGAACAAAAAGTATTTTTTTGGTGAAAACGCACCGTCGGATGAACGCAGGGGTAGCTGAGATACCTACAAAAGGATATTAATTATTTAAGAAAGGAGTATTACTTTAACGAGAAGCGGATGTGAATTAGGCAAGGCGGAGGTAAACCGATGCTTCGTTGCAAGATCAATCCATTTAGCCTTGAATGGTCGTTTACCATATTTGCTAGAAGTGGAAGACCTATATGTCTAGAGTGAGGTTTGCATTGAGATAGAACCAGATAACATACTCTGCACTTGTACAGAACAGAATTAATTTCCGCATACAATTCAGCTTTTACAAGACCCACTTTATCTGGAATCAAAATAAGATTCATTTTTGTGGCTAGCCGCGGTTCAAGTATCTATAACAAATCATAGCATTCTAAAATTGTACAATACCATGATGGTTATGGGATTTAAGGTTGAAAGGAACGGCGGTGTGTGAAATGATATAAGAAGTAAGGATTGATTTAGTGGTGTATTTGTGATAATTTCCATTGCATAAAGAATCCATAATCTTCTAAAACACAATAAATAGAGTAAATTAACTTACTCGTCTGTTAAGTTAAGATAAATAGGTGAAAATTGAAAATTCGGAATATTTCCACTCTCATTAATTAACTTCTCCGATGTGTCAAACGTAAGTGTGCAACTTGGCAAATTGCAATTAGGTAATGACGTTCCTCCCTAAAAAGCTGTAACAAAACAAAGGACAAAACTACCAAACATGTAACACCATTTATGTAAGCACTGTAAATACCGGACCGAGAAGCTAAGACAAGAATGTTAAGATTAAAATAGGGATTACCAATAGCAATCGATTGTGGAGTCTGAAATAACGTATTCACAGCCAGTAACGCGATAAGACACAGCCAATAATTAACGTCAATTGGACAATTGTGCATATTTCCGGTTAAAATGAACCAAATAAAGAAAACTAATAATCTAATTGTTGAGGTACAACTAAGAAAAAATGGTTGAAATATAGTTTTAATCTTAAAATAGATCCGATTTTCAAAACAATTTTAAAATACATTTAGTAGTATGTAAAAAGTAGGTAAAATATAAGTACATTTAAATCCAAACTAAACGGTATCTGAGATCTCTAGAAACACGCCAGATTGCGCGCAAGAAGATGATTGGCTACGCAGATGACCCGTTATTGAGAGTTACAATTGGGTAAAATGGTTAAGACTCAAGGTCTCTCTGGAATAAAACACATAATTTTAAAATTGAATTCTCTACAGTTTTGAAGCATTTAAATGATGATAAGCCATTATTTATATAAGAAGTTCGATTGATGCGTTACTGCCTTACTTTTTTATACAAGAAAAGGCATATACACTAAATAAACAGCAAATTCAACATTTCAACGCTCCACTAATGTAAATATATACATATATATATATTATAACAAGAACCTCAAATTCAAATTTGGCGAAATATACAACTAAAATAGAGTTTGAAAGCTAAAACCAAGGTCTTCAATAAGAAGTAAATATTCAGTTTAATAATTGTAAAAGTGCATTCAATAAGGCACAGCGATTCGAATCTCAAAAATCTAATTCCTGATCTTTTTTCTCCTACTTTAATGTTTTCAATAGTTCTAACACAAATCTATAAATGTTTTATATGTTCGCCACTTAGCAGAAACGAATCCTCCTAATGCAAAACCCGATTGGACACCAATAAATTACCGAAGCCCGTGAAAGCCAAGAAAGACCTTGAATTCTTCCAAATTACAATAAAATTACCCAACGCCTTATATACTGCTTGAGTACATATTGCTATCGCAAATTATAAATATGGAAAAATTATACAAATCAAAATCATTTGTGCATAAAATTGGCGGCGATTTATCAAAGATTTATAATGAACAAGTATATTAATCAAGTTATTTAAGAAGTCGCAATATTATTGATTATAACTGTACATCTAGTAGATTGTTGACTTCATTACAGACACGAAATAAACCAAAAAATGAAACTGCAACAAAATAGACATTCACATTATAAACTGTTTATTCTATCAACACATGTAGATGGATGAGATTTCGAAGTGGAACGGAGAAGATAATTGGATACAGAAGTACAATTTTAATTATAAATAGTTTTTCCTTGATGAAAAATAGAATTGAATCATTGTTAAAAAAGGTTGGTGGCTTTTAAGCGAATAAGCAATCTATATCATAGTGGAAATTATCATCATGCTAATCTAGATTATTTCGTTATTAACCATCTCGAAGTCATTATATTAGCACCACGATAAAGTAAAAAATCAAATTCAATTTCTTTGCGTTGGATTTACTTACCATTTTGGTTTTTAGACAATCGGTTTGAAACTAGCATTCCATTAAAATTCTTTTTGTCACTATGGTCACAACATCTTGTTTATTAAGATTCTTAGAGAGCTCACGTTTCCTACGAACACAAAAAATCCTGTTTTAGCTCCAAAAGAGCTAAAAATTATTAAAATATGACCAACAGACCTCTCACTTTCAAGGAACAATATTATAAAGTGATGGAGAAATATGGGAAATAAAACTCTAAAGCAAATTACATAATAGCTGCTATCTTAGCAGTTCGGAAACACTTCGATTTTCTATGTACCTAAAACGATTATAGATGCAGAACTGACGAACCGCAGAATATTAAGTTTGGAAAAATTGAGAAACAGTGGAAATTACAAACTGGGAAGCAAAGGATTTTTCCTAGAAATTATTTTTAAAATGCTAATCTACCATTATTTCAACTGGATTTTCTCTTAAAATGTATGATCTGTGTCACTTTATACTGTACAAGTGCTTTATAAGCCCTCTTTGAACATCTAACATGTGTAGAAATAAGATATATAATGTCTAGTCCAGCGGATGCCCGCCCCATCTATCATTCCCTTTATTTGCTTGAGCCAAACGACATTGTTAATCACTCATATTACTTAACGTGTAATAGCAAACATCGCCGTAATGAATTCTTGCTTGTCAGGCTTCACCGTTGACTATAACTAACTTACATTAATCTAGCTTCTCTAATCTGTTAATTAACTATTAAAATTTAAAACAGCTAAAATGTTGAAAAAATTACTTATAAAGATAAAAAATTAATTAGTTTTAATGTCATTGAACTTTACTGAAATTAATTTCACAATTTAAATTACCTAACGTTTATTAATAGTATATAGGTCACATATTTGTTGACGTTTAATTGGTTATCTAGTCTTGTCACCAATTTACCTGCTAACGCCTCGGTAAAGATGGATAGACTATATCAATATGGCGCGCTATTCGTCCAGCTTCTACAAAATGCCCAAGTAATTGAATTATTAATTGCAACTCGTAATACTTGTGCGTTATGCACAATTTTTATTGTCTGAAATGTTAATACGTAATACGCATGTTTTTATTATGAGCCTAAATACTCCTGTTATGTGCTATTATTAATGATTTGTTTTATAAATTTAGATACCTTCCCAATTATTAATTCTTGCAAGTCACTTTGCCAACCCACCTACTGTCAATATAATCGCATTTCCTATTGCTTTTATACTTCATCCGTTTCTCGGTTCAGCTACACTCCTATCCATTAATTTTTCTGAATGGCTTAATTGCGTTTTAAAATGGTACAAACCGAAGAATAACTTTTAATCCTACTAGGGTCCTTGATGAAGACAGACCGTATTGGTGGGTTCACACCAATGGGAAGGAACATATAAAGTTGAAACAATTTCCCCTAACTTGCGAAGTTGGACCGGGAAGTCCATCTGGTCATTGCATGGTTATGATATCTGGTTGGCTTCCTTTGCTATTGTATATTAGAAGGAAGTACAACAGGTTTGCTTTTATGGTTTTTTTAAAAATCTGCTTTCACGTTTAGGCTCGGTTTTATTCTTCTTTCCTCATTCATTACTTGCATCGTTCTAGTTGCTATAAGCAGAATGTACATTGCCACTCATTTTCCCCATCAAACTATTCTGGGATCGATAGCAGGTACTAATTTTAGATTCTTAATTATTGCAAATTTCTTATCTAATTAATGTTTTCCACTTATAGGTGCAGTCATAGGTCTCTTTTTCCACGAATTATTAATGACTCCTCATATTATGTGTTCCAAATCCAACAAAAAGATCATTCGTTTCCATTCCTCTTTCCTGAACTCTCCATCGGTGTTAATTGCAATTGGAGTTCTTAGCCTAATTACAGGAAAAGCTTTTGGTGCATTATTGAATTACCTTGGCAAGGATGTGGAACGCAGTTATCAACTAGCCATAAAATATTGTGCTCGATCTGAGTGGCTGCATCCTTCGACCTCTGCCATGGCTTCTTACTCTCGAGTCACTGGCGCTCTTATTGGTAACTCCATATTCAGTCCTTTTAATGAGATCGTATTTTAAGCAGTTGTATTCTGAAGTTGTACTTAAATCGAATTTCAACATTTTAAAATTCTAAGGTCAATTCTTGAAAACAATTTACCTTGATTTGTTAGATGCAATAGCTGGAGATGAGTTGGCATCTTTTAGTTGTGAAGCCTTGGTAGACGTCAATATATCGGGCCTATCAACATGGTGATGAAAAGGAGAAGATGCAGTTGTCTGTCAATTTAGCTTAAAAGGCATTTTGATCAATCAACGCGAACTAGAATTTTAGTTTCTTAACGAGAAATAGTAGTTTGTTGTTGGTCTTGTTTCTTTGTTCTCAAGGGAAGCGGATTTCTTGAATCATAATCTGGTTCACTAAGTACTAAGTCAACTCAATCAAGAGAGGTAGAATATTTATTCAAGACACTTTATTAGCCAAACGAAGTCTTTATATGTGCCTTCACAGTGTTGATGTTTGGATATCAAAAAATTCGCCGGATTGTTGTCACTTCGTCGTGAGTGATGTGCGCTTAGGTCTTGATAATGGTGATAAGCGACCTTACAATAACGTATGGAAGATTATAACTCCAATCAAAAAATACACACTGTAGTTATAATCTTTTTAGTCGAATCTCTACTATCTAGCTAATAAATGTTTTTGCAGTAGGGGAATTGTCGGGATGTCTGTATTCTTTATTGTTTGAATATTCAAGCCATTTCCTTCCCAAATATTGAAAATTAGCACGCGTGCCATTATAGTGGTTCGCAAATTTCTGTGAAGCGCTTAGTATTTTTATCTATTATAACGTAACAATCTAGGAATCTCACCAATAATCTCACAGATGAATGAAGTCTAAGAACTTGCTACTGCTTAACACAAGCCAAGTTATTGACAAGATGCGTGCTTTAAAGACTGTCAAGTTTAATCTAAATAGATTAAAAGGCAATGCGGCTATCACTAGTTCGGAAAGTAGACGAAATAGTGAGCGCGGAGGAAATAATTTATTTGCTTGTCTTGAGGATTTACTACTTAAATTCCACTATTGATGATTGACTTCTTCATCACACAATTGAGTTTAAAACCAATACTGATGTCTTTGTAAATATTTAATTAGGTCAAATTCTTACTAAATCATAATGTTTTACAAAATATTGCTTTAATAATTTTGTATTCATGCGACTACTGTTTCCGGATTAAACTTCGGTGTTTATATAAAGTGTATTTCCTTTTAGGACTGGCAGGAGCCCTTTATCTCCACCCGCTGTCCGCAAGTACTTCCACGCCGGTTGTCACATCCCTTCGAGAGTTCATTTTATCATGCACTGCCACATTTAGTGGCTACTATGTATCCCATAAAGCACTCCTCTTTGTCTCTCCGTGCATGAAAAGCTTCGTCAAACCAATTACCTTTATCTCCGATATTTCCCATCTCATTTATATGGCCGTTCTGAGTGCTCTTTTCCCAATACTTGTCGCTTTTGTACATTCAACACTTCATTGCAAATTCTTTGCAAAATTTGACAAGCAATCTACTTCGCCCAAACCCAGAACTGAAAAGTCAATTATGATTGACAATGATGAAGCAATTTCTATACGATGCAGGAGGTAACATCGACTAGCTTTCCGATTTAAAATACTTATTTTCTATTTGTGTGAATATCATTTTTATTGAAATTTCATTAAGCATTGCATTAGCTAAACAAGAAGTGAGCATACTTTTAGCAAAATTGCTACAAGGTATGTTGAATATAAAGTAAATAAAGCACATTGCGTACGTCATCGAAACTAAATTCACTGCATTTCTTCCTTTAGCAGAAGCTTCCCAGAGCAGTAGCATAATGCGCGCTATCTTCCGCAAAGCCACTTAAAATTGGAAGTGAATGAAAAATATGAATCTGTAGACAGACCTCTTCTAGAGACAGTCTAAAAACCCACAAATCTCCAACAATTGGCAACCTATAAGTTCAGCCCAACAAGGATATCCTACAGCGAAAGCATAAAATAAAATGCCTGCTGCCCTTTCTACGAGAAATAGATAAAGTTGGAAAGGTCTTATAGCAAGCCCATTGTAAAATACCCAATGCCCAGATTCTGGACAAAGCCATATCCTCAGTATTGTTTTAGAACTACCAACTCACTGTATTTCAATTGTGCGCCTTAGGTAGTTGCACATTGAACAATAGAGTGCGTTTTTTTGGCTCATTTAAAAGTTGCATATTAGACTTTGAGCAAAAACATAAAGAGTCAAATATATACATTAACGGCTTCTTTACACGAATTAGCTATTTACAAAATTGACCCTACGAGCGAATACTTTTAATCTGATGCAGAAGAATTGCGGTAGCAGCTGCTACATTCAGAGATGTTGGAAGAGGTGATGACACCGCAGAGCAATCATCAAGCTGATCGACAAGACCAGGAATTCTCACAATCAAATTGCAAGAAGATAACACAGAATCGGACAAGCCATACGCTTCCGATCCAAGAACAAGGACCAAAGGTCGTGGGGGACCATTTACAAAGGATCCAACCTAAGAGATAAAAGATGGTGATTTTGGAGACTCAATCAACGAAGATAAAAAAAGAAAACATTTTATTAATGCTTCTTCTGTGTGGGTATAAAATGAGATTTACGAAACCGGCTTATTAGAAACACGACTATCGCCTAATGGTGCTACTTTCAGTTACCTTGATACTATTCAAGTGACTGAACTTATTACACCTATTGGCTAGATGTGACCACTGTCTATACATTCTTATTGCACAATAATCAAAGTTAGCTTAAATTAAGCACAAACAAAGTAACTTTAATTGTTTTCTTCATTTAAGTCCCAACATTCTGAGAGAAAAAAGCTTATCGCGACTATACACAAACATCTGCATTTAGTTATTTATCAACAATGCAAAGTTGAGCGGATAGCGGAATAAATTTTAGCTAGAGATAAATAATTAAATACAGAAATACTCTTCAATATCGGCTTCCCTTCTTACTTGATATCAAATTTATTAACCTACCATTTGGGGCTCCACGCGGCACAAATCAAGAGGTGGAGGATGACTGAGATTCCCTAATGAATCTGACTGCATCCCAGAAGTGCCAACAATAATGAAACCCGCTTTAGAAAGCTGCTTCAGGGATAAGGCTGGGTTAGTCAATCGAAAGAACTTTAGAGACTCCATCGCTCCAGAACTTAGCTTGCTAATAAGAGGAGAAGGGGAAGCAGAAAAGAAGGCGGAAATGAGAACAGTTGGAATGCCGAAAAAGACAGCTGAGCGGAGGATGCTTCCCATATTCATGACATCTTGAATCTGATCCAAGAAAAGGATAATTGATGAGGAACCACAACAAGAGGCTGGTTTTGCTAAATTATGACCACAATGATTAAAATGTAAAAGGGAACTAGCTGAGACACCATTGAGACTTGGCATAGGGATCGGCGTGCACTCAATTGCAATTCCTTGATTCGACCGACCGCTTGTGAGGACAGTGAGAAAATCGCACGAGACTGATTTCACTTCAAATTTATTCACAGCCTTTTGAACAGCAGAGGCCAACCAGGGATTCTTCATTTTTAATTCCTCATGAGGAAGATTAAACAAGTCTTCCCTCAAGAACACACGAGAAACTGTGCGCTGCCTTCCATTGAGAACAGCTAATGAAGGGTGAATTCCGTAAATGATTTCAAATTTTTGGCGATTGTTCAGTATCTTTTCGATTTCTTGTCGTGATCTCTTTGGAAGTGCACTAACCAGAGTGCGAAAATGAAACTTCTGTAAAAGACAATTTGGTACAGTACTAAAATTTCGTCGAAAAATCACAAAGAAATGCGAGAAATGAAACATTAACTAGGTAAATTAATTTTAGTTACTGAAAATTGACTCATAAAGTCCAAGGAAACCTTATTATACAATACTGTTAGATTATCCAACTTCGTCGACCTTTTACCCACCAGTATCATACACGTTTTTGTATGACTCGATGCCACACTCAAGGTGATATGACTGATGATTTATCAGCTAAAAGCCTAAATTTTATTCTGAGAAACAATAATACTACGTATTTTATCCCAAAATTTTTTTTTACTTATTTTATTCAAAGAATACCGATTTTTTGTATTTAAACTTTTACAAATATATTGTCGTTTTAAAAAATATATTTATTGTAAAATGATCGTTATTTAGGAATTATTTTGAAAGCGATGACTTTTAATGACATTTAACCGGCATCTACAAAGGTTATCGTGTTTATAACGCATCCCACGTCTTGTCTCTTTTTTATGGTAGTTTGTTTCATATATGGCCCTCGATACGAAGTTGTCTTGTCTAACTTCAACCTTAATTTTTATCGTGTCCATTGCAAGTTTGCATCTCGTCAAGACTCTTATTGGTGATCTGCCAGTGGTCTTTATTTTAATTGGGATTTATGGAGGAATCTTAAGTGTTATTCTCTTAACGGTAATATTTGTTTGTTCTTATTTGTTTTAGGCTGTAAATAATTTTGAAAACCTAATTTTTGGGAGCGAATTTTATGCGCAATTGTTTCCCGAAGGTATTTTTCAATATATATATGTTCTATCTTTAGTCTTTTTCTCCATTCTTCTGACCACTTTTGCTGTTGGGTCTGTCCATAGGGTTTGTGGAACTGTCTGGTAGGCTGCAAGTGGTTCTTTATTATTTATCTTGAAATTTATTTTTATTTGTGTTTCCTCTTCGCAGCCTGTTATCTTCTTGTGCTTGCGTTTATTTCTTAAATGCCTTATCTCAACAATGTTATTCTTCCGTCAATGCAAACCCGGCCAATGTTTTAAAGAAGAAACGAAATTAATAGCTTTAATACATGTTTTTACTTGCTAATTTTGTTTTTATTTCAAATAAACGATCATTCCTCGACGATCTTTGTATGCTTAAAGCTTCTTAGCCGCGAATGTTGTAGGTGAATTTCTTTATTATTGCTGCTTGATCTACATCAGAGAATATACTTGGAGCGCTGATTAGGATGACTACCATACCGCATGTCGTTATGCCGAGGAAAATTATCAGCTGTACTCTGTCAATGACGGATGCAACATATTTCCAGTCCTCACGTATCTATAACATCAAAAACTCGTAAAGATATGTATAAATACCATGAGTTGCCAGAGTTGATTACTTACCCTTTGCTCCTTCTCTCCAGCTATTTCATGTTTTGTTATCGTATTTACGCTTTTTATTATGGTTTCCAAGCTTTCGTTAACGTTTTCGAGTAGCATTCCGGGTGTCTGAGTTGCGTTGCTGAAGTTGCATTTGAATCCGGCCTATTGATGAAATTCAATCGGCGATAACTTATTTTATGAATTTTAGGCATAGATCATGTTTTTATTGGAGGTATATTTGGAAATGGACTAGGTTAGGGAAGGTAACCTGCTCAAAAACGACTTTGTAATCTCAACTGTCGTTTAGTGCTTCTGATAAATCTAGCTTTCTCCATTTCTATTTGCCAACTTCAGTCAGTGTAGCCTATTTGGCTCACCAATTGTACAAACTAGATAGTTTTGATGAGAATGCACTTCATTTGAGAAAATTTGCTAAGGTTGATTATCTGACATTTTTAGTTTGTATTAATATGAGTAAGCTCAAAATATCTCAAACGGTGAGGGTTCGTTATTTCCATAAATTATACTACTTACCATACTTAAGTAAAACTGTAGGCTCTATCAAATTAAGCCATGCTAAATGAATGTTGAATTCCGCTTTACTTGTGTTGGTTATACATGTATTGTCGCTGGATGTTACCTTTTCGATCATTACGTATTACTCTCCATTAAGAGCACATACCATTTTTCATCGATGCCTTGCATACTTTAGTTTTGTGCTTCTCTTAAATTCTGTCAAATTCGAGACACCCTGGGACTTCTTTGTGAATGCAGATGTAATTAAAAAGCGTTCAACCTCTTACTTAAACTTACAATGTTTCCCAGAACACAGCGTTCTTTGCAATTGCTTGGAGTAGAGCCGATTTCGCCTATTTTATTATTCATAATATTCTCCTCCGATTCGTCTGTATCAGATGGTGAGCTTTCTTCTTCAGTTTCTACCTTCCTATTTTATAAACGGAACAAATACATGTATAATCACAAAAATTTAACAAAGAACCTTTGAATACGCAAAACTGGAGGGAGCCATTGCATAAACACCCGTCGAACCCATTTTAAAATTTTTGGATGACTTTTAGGGTTTCGATGGTTCAAATTGATGATCACTGCTACGGTGATGCACAAACTCAAGAATGTCATAGCAAAAGTAAAGAGAAGGAATTTCGATAACAGAGGAATATTCTTCGTTCCAGCTGGCAACATCTTGCTTACTAGAATCATGTAGACCACAATAGTAACGAGAATATTGATTGAAAGGGTGACTTTTTCTCCAGCATCAGTGGGTAGACAGAACACACAAATTCCAAGTAGAGCTATTAGCACACAAGGAATGATTATGTTTGTAATGTAGAAAAGTGGTTTGCGACGAAGTACAATCTTGAATGTAATTCGAGAAGTGGGAGGACGATTCGATATAGTTCCATGACGGTAGAGGGATGAGGTTTTTAGTTGCTCGTCATAAACTGGAGTTTCGTCGATGTGGATGTAACCAGGACCTTCTATGAAATCCCAAACTCCACTCGGTACATAGTCTGATAAATCGATATGTGTTTGATTGTTATAGAACTGCAGTTCAACCTATTGAGCACTAAGAATAGCAACCTCAACTTTACCTGTTCCTTAATATAGGTCCAACTCCCTAGTTCCATTCGACAAGTCTGCTCATCGAAAGGAAAGTACTTAACGTCTATTGCACAGGATGTCTTGTAAATTATCGGTGGGATCCAGAGTACATGCCCATCATTTTGGAGAACCACATTCGGCTTAAAAGTTGCTTGGAATTCGCCATCAACACTTAGATGAGCAGTAAATATAAATATAACTTTCATATACTTGTTTAGAACTACAATCTCTGGTTTCCAGAGCTTGTGGATTGCAATATTGATTGACTCAATACCTGCGAATTCGCTGGGATTCCAGGCCAATCGATAGTCAGACCATGACTGAAATAACGTGGAATTCAGGAAGTAATGAATTTACCATTCGCAGCCACACATTGCTTTTGAGACGCTGATACTTTTCATCCTAGTTAGAAAAAGAATATAGTTTTTTAGGCTTTACACAATTACGACTTTTTTTCATAAAAATATCCAAATAAAAATAAAATTAATAATCAATCGAACTTATAGTCATGGTATCCTCTAAATAAATGTAGACAGAAAATATGGGGGTTTGTGAATATTTATTTATTTATTTATATGAAATGGTAGGCGTTGTGAAAGTTATCATTAGCCCTTTAGTTGACTTCAGGCTTCACAGAGGAGGAGGAACATCAAATTGAAACATGTCGAGAGGGAGAGGGGGAACAGAAAAGAGATTCAAAGATGTAAAAGCGACTAACACAAAAGTGGAAAAAGGTGAGGTGAGTACTGTGGAAGAAGTCAACTATGACATACAATGGGGTGAGAGTAGTTTGAAGACAGAGAAAAGGGTAAGGTGAGTACTGTGGAGGGGTCGAAAATGACAACCAGGGTCATGGTAGTTTGAAGTGAGAAGTCAACTGCCAGTTAATAGACTTTTGCCGTATGAGTATACGTTGCTCAGGGTGCACCGGGTGGAGGTAAGTCTATCGCACACCCCGGTTTGTGAATATGAATTAGTGAAAGTGGAGAATGGTGCTTGCTATGACTCTCAACTAATCTCTGGAAAAATTTAGACTCGACTAGATTTTAAAAAAATAACTTAAACTCAAGATAAACGATATAATTTATACAGATACAGTGAGCGCTCTCTGCTTGAGTTTCATGCCTGGCAAAATATGATAATTTTAGTGCTTAATTACGTGAAATTTGCCAGTGTCCACCCTCCCGAAAGAAGACAACTATGTTCGTTTATATTGC